TACCTTATTTGCACTTTTAGGTAGTTAGACCTCACTTTCTCTCTCCTTCTCTTATTGGCCAATAAAAACTTAAGAAACTCCTTAAGTCTAAGACTTAAGGACATGATCCAACCCGAAATCTCCGCTACTTGGAACGAATTTCAATACAAAGTAACGAATTGACTGACTCTTGCACAACCAATTCACTACTATCAATCAAGGACGCTCTCTTAACCTAATCAGATTCTATCTATCATAGGCTAAAGCAGAAATCAAGAGAATTTGATCAGAATTCAATTGACTCAATAAATCATGCCTCAATCGATTATAATCAAACAATATAGCATTTAGAACTTCATACAAGAAAGATCCTAACACATGGAACTAGGGTTCCTCAAGACCTAAGTGAAGGGAAGTTACTCAATAGAGAAGAGAGAGACTGCAGAAATCTGATCTGATCTAGATCTTCAATGTCCATCTCCAAGCTTGATTCCCGAGCTCCAATGGCGAATAAATCCTCCAAAATAGCTCCAAGAATGTTCCCAAATCGCTCTCTCTAGGGTTCGTCCCTTGGGTGTTTGGGAACCAAAACCCAGCTCTCCCCCTCAAAAATCACAGAAAACGTACTTAAACCATAGCAGGGGGCAGAAACACGGTCTTTTTCCAAAGCCCGTATTTTAGCCTTTCCCGTGTTTCTTCTCGGCACTAAAAATACGAGCACGGGAGGGGTAAACATGGTTGTATTTCTCATGCCCGTATTTCTTCCTTCGCTTTTGTTTAATGCTTTGTTTCTCCCTCATTCGGACTCTGAATCAGTCGCCGTTAGATCCCAAACTCTCGTAGTCTTGTCCTCTCTCTTTTCATGAAAAGCTTCGATGATTCTTTATCCATAATATGAGGTAGAATTCCATTCTTTCTCAGGTCATGCTCGAGTTTCTTCTCCCTAATTGCCAAATGATCGCCGATTGACTTGAAACTTGCGCCTATGCTTCACTTTACTTGCTAGGACATGAAATGTGGCAAAGGAACCTAAACTAGCATAAAATAGGCCAAAGTATGATAAAAACCAAGCTGAAAAATCAAGGAATGATGGACAAAAACATGTAAAACACAATGTTATCAGTTTGTCATTATAAATTTGGTGAGCATGTTGGAGATGTATTTGGATTGATTAATAAATGTCCCATGTTCAGTTTGTTGGATTTGAAGACCAAGAAAGGATTTTAGTTCACCCATCATGCTCATTTCGAAAACAGTTTTCATTGAGTCACATAATTCGGTGCACTTTGGTGGACTAGTAGAGCCAAAGACAATATCATCAACATATATTTGAACTAAAATTAGATCACTTGATGTTCTTTTTATAAACAGAGTTTTATCAACCATGCCCTAATTAATTTTTTGATAGAAAATATGTAAGACGATCGTACCAAGCCCGGGGAGCTTGTTCGAGACCATAAAGAGCTTTTCGATGTTTAAAAACATGATAAGGGAATTCGGGATCAACGAAGCCTGGGGGTTGCTCTACATAAAAATCTTCTTGAATAATGTTGTTCAAGAAAGCACTTTTAACGTCCATTTGATAGAGAGGAAAATTCACATAGCATGCAAAGGCACAGAGAAAGCGAATAGATTATATCCTAGCAACAGGAGCAAAAGTTTCATCATAGTCAATTCCTTCTTCTAGTGAATATCCTTTAGATACTAGTCTACATTTGTTACGACTTATAAATCCGTCTTTATTTGATTTGTTACGATAAACCCATTTGGTTCCGATGCCAGGATGGTTAATAGGCTTATGAACTAGATCCCACACATGCAAATGTTCAAATTGAGCTAGTTCCTCAACCATAGAGAAAACCATTATTCATCTTGAATAACTTCTTTAAAGTTTTTAGGCTCAAATTGGGACACGAAAGCAAATTGGCCAGGCATATACTTACCTCGAGTACGAAGTCCATCATTAATGTTACCAATGATTTGAGTAGAAGGATGGCACTTCTGAATGTGTGTTGGAGCTGTCTGAGTGGCTGTTGGATCTATGATCTCAGTCGAGTCTTCTTCAGGAGAGTTTTTCAGAGTCAGGAAGAACGGCAGGAGTGGAGATTTGGGCAGTAGTCTCCTGATTTGTTTCAACTGCATGTGTTGTAACAGTTGAAGGAGGCACCAGTTGAGAGTTTTCATCAGAGGCTGAAGCGATGGTTGTTTCGCGGGGAAGGTTTGTCATCTCTGCAAAATAAAAAACCTCTGCATCTGGTTCACCAGGCTGGAGAGCTGAGTTAGTGTCATTAAATACTACTTGCACGGTTTCCTCAACTCGTTGGTTTTTTTTTGTTGAAGACCCTAAAGGCTTGGCCTTTGATAGAGTATCCTAGGAAAATACTTTCATCGGACTTGGCATCAAATTTGCCTAATTGGTCATTGGTATTAAGACAGTAGCATTTACACCAAAAAGAATGAAAATAGGAAATACTAGGTTTCCTTCCTTTAAAGAGTTCATAGGCTGTATTGTTTAGATGTTTTAGAATTAAAACTCGATTACCAATATAGCAAGTAGTGCTAACAGCCTCAGCCCAAAAATACTTAGGAAGACCATACTCAAGTAAAAAAGTTCTATCACATTAAATTAAGGTTCAATTTTTTTCTTTTCACAAACCCATTTTGTTGGGGTGTACGAGAGGAAGAGAAGGTATGATTGATTCCTAAGGAATCACATAACTTCTCAAACTCATCAGAGATGAATCGCCACCATTGTCACTTTTAATAGTAAGGATTTTCTTACCGAAGGTAAGAGTAAATGTTTGGAATTTAAAAAAGGTTTCACTCTTATACGCAAGAAAATACACCCAAGTATATCGAGAAAAGTCATCAACTAGTAAAAATGCATAATTCTTGCCCCCTAGACTTGAAACATAGCACATACCAAAGAGATCCATATGAATAAGTTCGAAGACTGAGGAGGTATTAATGCCAGACTTGGGTTCGAAAGATCGTTTAGTATGTTGGCCTTGAACACAGATATGACAGAAAAAATCAGACTTGTCATTTAGGGAAGGAGTACCACAAACCAACTCAGATTTAGACAATCGGGACATAATAGATAGACTAACATGACCTAACTTTCTGTTCCATAGGAGTTCCAATTGAGAGGCAGCTACGAAGCATATTTCACTAGAGTGATCTAATGTATGAAAATTTATAACATACATATTGTTTTGACATTTACCAACAAATAGAATTTTATGATCTTGTGAGCTTTCAACTACGTAACGAGAAGCTTCAAAAACTACTCTATAACCACTGCTACACAGTTGACTTATAGAGAGTAAGTTGTGTTTTAGACCTTCGACCAACAAAACGTTATGAATGATAGAAAAAGGTTATTGTCCTATAGATGACCAAAGACAACCTTACCACCATTTTGAGGAGAGTGTGAGGAAAAAAAATGTTTTGTGCCAGTCATGTGATGTGAGCAACCACTATCCACATACCAGTGGGGCTCGTCATTCATGTCTGGGTCAAATGTGGCTGTTTTGAAGGCAAGTTCAACAGTAGAGTGAGTAGAGTTACCTTCTACGTTCATGGCATAGGCCATGAATGCTTCCTCGTCTACTTGATCATCATCTGACTCGGAATCATAGTCACTCCAAGAAGCCATCATGGCTTTTTCTTTGGCTTTGAGAGTGAGAGGACAATGAGCACGAATGTGCCCTGGTTGTCCACACTTGTAGAAGCCTTGACGTTCCTTAGTCGAAGTACCTGTATCCACATCTTTGATCTGCTTATAGGGCAGCCTATCTTTGAAACTAGAGTGAGTTCTAACCGTGAATGATAACTAACCTCACTAAATGATACTTTGTTAACAGGGAATTTCATACATGTAATGTAAATGCACAATTGTACAACTAAATAATAAAATCGTACTGCGATCTGCAACAGCATAGCGCCGGTACTTTCCTAGTCTTTTTAAAGGGGGGAGAATTAGTAAGTTAAGATCACCAAGGAATCGAATAAATAACCAAATGTTGTGATGGAGCAACTGAAAGAGTTACTTGCCACCTCAACCTTTCTCCCAGCTCTCACATCCACCATCCTCCTCCTCCTATCCATAAGCTTATTGATCCGCAAAGTGACATCCTCCTCTTCTGCGGTGCGGCCGCCAGGGGCATGGAGGCTCCTAGTCATATGGAACCTCCACCAGCTGGTCTCTAGCCTCCCCCACCAGCGCCTACGCCCCTTTGCTCGCAAACACGAGCCCGATGTGCTGAGCCTAGCTCCAGATGGGAGAGCTACCACACCTTGTGGTCTGCTCCAGCCAGGCGGCCGGAGAAGTGATGAAGACTCACGACGTAATTTTCGCGTCGCGGCCATCGCACATGGTGATGTACGCGGGGAGCGACTTGGTGTTCACCGTGTACACGGAGCCCTACAAGCACCTCCTCAAGGTTTGCGTCTCGGAGCTGCTAGGGGCGAGTCGGGTCAAGTACTTTTGTCCCGTACGGGAGGCCGAGATGGCCGATTTCGTCGCCAGCCTCTCCCTGGAGGCGGCCGCGGGGGAGGCCGTGGACATCGGCAAGGAGGCGTTCTGGCTGTCGACTCGGTGCTGGGGAAGGCGATGGAGCTGGACGATGGGTTTTTGAAGATGGTGGAGAATGTTTCCGATATTCTTGGAGGGTTCAAGGTGTCCGACCTTTTCCCGTCGATAAAGTTTCTGGCGGTGGTTAGTGGGTACAAGGGCAAACTCAGGAAGATGCATCATGCATGGGGAGATGGAGTCGATGCTGGACGAGATCATTGACGAGCGTAAGGAGAAAAGAGCCGCGGCGAAATCTAGAGGAGGATCAGTTGACCGTGATGATCTGTTGGATGTTCTTTTGAATCTCCAAGAAAGTGGGACCCTCCACTTCAGCTTGACCATGGAAAACATCCAAGCTGCCCTGCTGGTAAGTGTCACTCTGCATCAATTAATGATTCTGAAACCGTATCATGCACCTACTAAAATACAAATAAGTATATGAGTGATGAAAGATCAGAGAGTACTACGGAAAGCACAGGAAGAAGTTAGGCAAGTGTACAATGGAAAATCTAATGTGAATAAATCTGGCCTCCACGAACTCAAATACTTGGACTCGGTGGTTAAAGAAAGTCTAAGGTTACACCCTCCGGTCCCTTTGTTGGTTCCTAGAGAGAGTCGGGAGAAGGTTGAGATTTGTGGGTACGAAGTTCCGGCTAAGACCAAAGTCATAGTCAATGCTTGGGCGATTGGGAGGGATCCCCAATATTGGAAAGAGCCAGAGAGGTTTTATCCTGAGAGGTTCCTCGACAATTTGATTGATTACAAGGGAAACGATTTTGAGTTCATCCCGTTTGGAGCAGGAAGAAGGATGTGTCCTGGAATGCATTACGCGTCAACTTTTACTAAGTTTGCCTTGGCTAATCTGCTCTATCATTTTGACTAGAAATTCCTTCATGAAATGGAGCCCGAGAATTTAGATATGACTGAAATTTTTGGACTTACTATGAGGAGAAAATCCAGTCTATTCTTGATCCCTGTGAGTCATGATGCCATGGTTTCATAATTGATGTGATCCATTTGCCATAATGGGAGTTTATCAATTTTATGATCCCTGTCAAGCATCTTACATTTCTGTTATCGTACTCGCTGTATATTCTTTTTGGTCTTATATATTTTGTGTTTTGGCTTAAAATAAAGGAAGAGGATGTAAGTAAGCAGAATCCTAACAAACTTCGGCAAAAGAAAATCTCCCACAACAATTTAAGTATTGAGACCAACTATAGTTCTCAACATGAGATTAGAGCCTTTGATAACCGAGAAGCCGTATCTTCGAATCCCAATGACCCCATCTGTCAAGCACACAAGATCTGCTATAGAATATGGGCCAGATTAACCTAGTAAATAATCATGATCGTATTGCCTCTCGACCATTCAAATCTCACTACTCGATCAGTGATGATCTTGTTCTTTGCTTCAAAACCAAGATGTGGGCTATAGGTAGTAAAGAGAGACTATGTATAGGCATAGCTCATTTCCGAAAAAATGTATAGGCAAAGCTTCCTCTAGAATTCCCGTAGACACGTATCAGAGAGCTTGGCGACATATATAGCGGAATGAAAGGATTCACATAGATTCCTTCACTCATTGTGCTCCAATGTCCTTCCATCCATTAGTGGATCCCTCCTTCGATGGACTAGCTGACATGTGGGTCAGCCAACCAGTCATGCATGTTACAATACCCTATAGCATATGATGGCTTTCTATCTATGTATTTCCTTTGGTGTGCACTCAATCAACACATGTTTCCTCGTTACAATCCACCCAAATGAACGAATATAACAATTGAAATCAAAGACAATAAACATAACGAGATGAAATCAATCAAATATGCTATATATAATCAGAAATCGACTCATACATTGTCTATGTAACCTTTAGGGTTTTAGAACCTACAAAACTATCAAACTAGCCAATCATGGGGACGCAATATAGGAAGTACATTGATGACACTTTATATATAGTGTTTGTCACTCCCATTTTTTATACATTGCCCTTCTATCAAAGCATCTTTAGTCATTTCTCTAGTATTTCTTAATTAAATCAAAATTATTTGATCAATGAGCCTTTAATAGACTTAGGATATATTTTGTACTCTTTAATTTCTTCTTGGTATGTTTTTGATGGTTTTGAAGTTACAAAGAAGCCTAAGGAAGTTTGGATGAAGTATTAAACAACTCTGGAGGACCGAAGGTGCTATAAAGAGAAAATTATGGAGCTTTCGTGTTAAATATGAGGTCCAATGATGGAAAAGTCTACTAGAAGGTGCTATATGAAACTAAGACAAACCCAATAGAGGAAGACTTAGTCCAAGCTAAAGAAGAAACAGTGGCGGCCTAGCATCGGGTCCAACCGCTGTTGGAGGAGACCTGGTCAAGACGCGTCCAAATCTTCAAAAGAGGTCATCCATGGGCCAAGGAGTCAAGCCCACAAAGAAAAAGGATGAGCGGCCCTAACCTTCTTCAAATTTTTAGCCGAGTTTCTCCGTTATAAATAGAGAGCATGGCTCATTAGTTCGCGAAGGCTACACAAACATACAAACACCTTTGTACTCTGCTAGACTAAAAGCCTAGCTATCGTAAGAGAGTGTGCAGCTAAGGAGATATTGTCATCATCGATGGTGGTACCCTCCTCTTCTATGTATCTAATTCGAACTAGATTGCATGAGGATGTAAACTCGTTTACCTTTATGTGAATGAATGTTATGATTTTATGTCATGCTTGTTTTATCTCTATGAATTTTGATGCTCGTGATGTGTGTATGGATGCCTAGTCTTTGATGCCTATATGATTATAATTGTTTTTTATATAGTATAAATGCTTCTTTATCATCAATGTTTTCGGTTCTATGATATGCTACTTGACTCGCTAAAATACAACACCTAACATGGCCAAGTGTAACCAATGAAAGGGATTGCAGTATAGTGGCACAAGTAATAAATATCGAATCCACGGGTCTCTAGAGTTACTATTACTCAGCTTCAGTTCATTATCTAGCAAACTAGATTAAGGATTGATTAACTAAACTACTCTACTAATTACAAGTTGGGAACTCACTTAGGTATGATTCCCCTTAGCTCCTCAATTAGGTGAAAGTTGCAATTACCTTTGGTTGATCTACTGTTGATTAAACTGCAGAATATCCTAAATTAGCTTGGAATCTCTTAAACTCACCAAGCCCTTTTAGACAGAATACCCGGCAGGCGACTAGCCTTCATCGAGATAGACTGCTAAAGCGATTCACACGGATCTCCACTACTAGAATGAATTCCAGTACAAAGCAGTGAATTGATTGACTCTCGCACAACCAATTCACCACTATCAATCAAGGAAGCTCTCTTAACCTAATTAGATTCTATCTATCATAGGGTAAAGCAGAAATCAAAAGAAGATGATCAGGCTTCAATTGACTCAATAAATCATGCCTCAATCGATTATAATCAAACAATATAGCATTCAAAACTTCATACAAGAAAGATCCTAACACATGGAAATAGGGTTCCTCAAAACCTAAGTGAAGGGAAGTTACTCCATAGAGAAGAGAGAGACTGCAGAAATCTGATCTAGATCTTCAATCTTCATCTCCAAGCTTGATTCCCGAGCTCCAATGGCAAAAAAATCCGCCCAAATAGCTCCAAGAATGTTCCCAAGTCGCTCTCTCTTTCTCTAGGGTTCGTCCGTTGGGTGTTTGGGAACCAAAACCCAGCTCTCTCTTTCCTTTGGCTTGAATCTGCCTCAAAAACCCAATTCTGGGCAAAACACGGTCGAGGACACGGATGTGTTTTACTTTTGCCCGCCCGTGTATTGCCTCCCGCAGCCCTCACGACACGCCCTTGGCAGTAAAAACACTAGCGGGGGCCAGATAAAACACGGTCGTGTTTTTAGGGTAGTCTGCCCGTGTTTTTACTGCCCAACATGTTCCCCTATATTCAATGCTTCTTTTCTCCCTTGTCCGGACTCTGAATCAGTCGTCGTTTGTTCCCGGACGCTCGTAGTCTCGTCCTCTTTCTTTTCATGACAAGTTTGCATGATTCTTTGTCCACAAATGATGTAGAAATCCATTCTTCTTCAGGTCATGCCCGAGTTTCTTATCCCGAATCGCCAATTGATATCCGATTGACTTGAAACTTGCGCCTAGACTTTTCTTCGACGCTTGGGACCTAAAATGTGACAAAATAGCACAACCCAGCATAAAATAGGCCAAAGATGCAAGACTAGGAGTCACAAACGGAGAAGAAATAAGGGTGCAAACACGTGCAAATACATCGTTATCACTACTATATGCATTGTGCTTAGTATTTTCTAGGTTGTCAAGAAATGACCATCTAGTGATACCCCTTGATAATGCACGAGTATAGATGGAATGATTAACTATCTATACCTTGAGTAGTATCAATGCCTGATTGTTAGATCATCGATGCTATAGACAATCGATTATGGTCATAGAGGCCCACACTTCATTATTTGATATCATAACTTTCTTGTTCTTCATTAATTAGATGATGGCATGTAGTGAAAGCACGCATCATGGATTCACACCAGAGAAATTGAAAAGTAAGTCACCAAATGCCTCGATCGAGATACCACAATGATTGTCAACCATTCATTCGATGGAGATTTCATAACAATGCCGAGAGTACAATGCCAGGAGCATTTCGCCACATTAGCTAGGAAGTCCAAGAACTGGTCCAAGTGTCCATCAATGATCAAACAATTGAAAGCTGCTACAGGAAGGGAGGATGATGTTGCCACCCTCTATGCATACATGAAGGTGCTGACCAGCAGCTCAAGAGAGCATCAATGGAGTAAAAAAAAAAAATGGACCGGTAGCATCCTTGTTCATCCGTGAAGCACGTGGAGAAGAAGGCCATGAAAGATTCGAATACTATAGCCAAAGAAGGGCTAGGACATGGTGATGTCAACAAATCAAGGCTATCAATCGAGAGCTCAACAAGGGATCTTCTTGTAAAATATTCAACCAATCTCGCATACCGTATGGTCAATGGCCTGCTCAAGGAGGGAAGAAGCCCGAGGATTATCCCAAAATCACCTCTACCAATGCACTCTATGTTCGTGAGGAACAAATGCAGAAGAAATCAGGCCCACCTGGATTTGGCAATCAAACTCATTATAAGGTGCAAGGAGAAGGTGTATCCAATCCGCAACCCACCAGATTAAAGAAGCTGGAAGCAACAATGATAGGACTGCAAATGAGTTGCAAGAACATCGAAAGACAATTTTCACTCCTCATTGATGCCCAACCACAAACCCTCAAAGCAACTTCTCGAACAACACAGAGAACAATCAAAAGTAGTAGGAAACAAAATTCATCTCGACAAGGATGAGAGAGGCCAAAAATTTACCGAGCATGATAAAGGTAGAAGAGAAGAAAGGAGCTTTTGGAGGAGTAGAAGTGGCAGTGTCTATATTGGATAAGATAATTTCCATGGAGGATCTTAAAGGAAAGCTAGAGATTTTCATGGAAGAAGACAGCATGGTCGAAGATAAGGAGACTACGATCAAGAACACCGGCCCATTGGTGTTGCATAGAATTTGTCCTAGTTAATGAAGCTAGCTCAAATGGCACTAAAGATAGTCGGTACAAGCTAAAGATGATGCTAGAGAAGATTGATGAGCTGGAGTATGAGACATAAGAAGAGTATCAGGAGTTCATCAATCATCATCAACCTAATGGATTCAACTATGATAAAACACTTGCAATGGGAAGGGGAGATGAAGGTGAAGTGAAACCTGAACTTGAAATCAACTAAATGGGAACCTCGTTGAGCCTAGCTCAAAGGCATAATAGAGAAAGCGCTCGATGGGAGACTTCCCATATCTGGCGTCAACCTTGATGATGTTAAATAAAAGTGTTCACGCGGAGACAACCTAGATTTATCTTTTGAATCCTTCCCAAACATCGATCGAAGCTTTGCACTACCCATGCTTTCTTCACTCGAGTCCTCGAATTTAGAAACGATCAATACCAGCACATTTAGGGCCACATTTCAAGGGGTCGGTGTAGAGTTTGTCATTTTCCATGTTAGTAGCTTGGGAAATCGCGAAAAGACCACTGTATAAATAATAATGGCACTAATATCATAATTAGACATTACTATTTTGTCAAAGAATAATTCTTTGATCATAAAATTAGTAAGAAAAAGGAATAATTATTTTAATTAAACATTATTTATTTTTCAGTTCAAATTCTAAACATTATTTAGTTTGTCAATAAAAAATAAATATAATTTATTTATTAATTCTATAATTAACATGTACAATGATACTTATTCAAAAGTATTAATATTGATGTGATATGAAATTATTTTTAGTATTTAAATTTACTAATATATTATGTTTAGTGTTTAAATTTAGAAACAAATATTGTTCCTTTGCTGCTCAAATGATGATTTTTGCGACGATTTAATATTTAAAAAAAAAGGAACCATGTCGCAAGTTATATATCTTGCAGGTACGTGTACTTTTTCCTTATTTACTTTGATCTATGCCTATATTGACTTGAAAAACTGTTAGAAATATCGAGTTGGTGGGCATTGTGCTTTTAATGTAGGTATTTACTAGTGAAATATGAACATATTGTAGTAATTTGTTATTTTTGTCGATTGACTTTAAATGCATATTACCGGCCAGGTGTTGGAGATTATAGCAGCTCCATGTTGAGCTATTAAGGCATAGGCAACAATATTTTGGGTTCTACTCATGATACGTACATAGAGTTTTGTGTAGCAGCTACCTGTTTAGTAAAATGTTAAATTACTTAAGTTTTGTGAACAAGATTGTAGAAAATAACAAATGAAATGATTTTTTTTCTGCGACGGGTACTTCCGTGGCTAAAGATGTTCATTTCTTTGCATTTGAAATGGTGGTTGCGGGTGGGTGTAAGCATGATGCTCCTACTCCCAGCAATTTGTTATTTTCTCTCTAATTTAAATTAATCAACTAGCTAATTGACACAAGACATGCAGGTCCGCCCTTGATTCCCATATCATATGCTTCATGGGCTGGATCAAGACAGGTTCCAAATCAAAGCAACTAGTTAACAGATACAATTATTAGATAGGACGAAAATTATTGTAGGAGATAATATAAGTAAGTCGAGCAGGATCAAACAATATATTCCCATACATATGCATCGTGTGCTGGATCAAGACAGGTTCCAAATCAAACCAATTTCAACTCATAAACTCTTGTCATTTCGAGTATGATGCAGTACTGGATGAGCATATTCTTATTACCTCTGGAAGTGTTTAAGGAAATAGAGATTCAGTTTCTATGGGAAAGCTCTGCACGAGAACTTAGCCAAAGCAGGCAGGGGGTTTGGGGATGAAATCTCTTAGAGTATAGAACCTTGCTTGCACTAAATATGTCTGGAATGTTTCGGTTAAAAGAGAATCCTGGTGGAGAGCATGGATTTATAAATATAAGATGAAAACTTTATCTTTCTGGGACCTTTTAATTAATCCGTAGCAGTTGTTTATGGATATGTACGAAGATCTTAAAGACCAGGGATAAAGTGGGGCATCTAATTACTTGCTGGAACATACACTTGTTACCATTAGTTGGCTGGTTATAAGGACATATTAATTTTTTTTTTAATGGATGCAGTGCATCTCAGCCTTTATTCAAAACCAAACGGGGTTCAGAGAGCCCCTGACAATCGTACATAATGAAATTACACAAAGTGGGATCAGAACAGGAGATGAGATGATAACCCAGAGGCAACAGATGCCCTCTACTAGCAAGATGATCAGCACATTTGTTCCCTTCTCGAAAAATATGGGAAACAACAACTTCCCATTGATGAGTGAGCAGCTCTTTGAATCTCTGGATAATGGCCGCCTGTTGATGATCTGGTGAGTTCAAGCTTCTAAGGAGCTGAACCGCACAAAGAGAATCAAGCTCCACTATGACACGTCTGAAACCCGTGTCCCAAGCCAACTGCAGCCCCTCTACAACGCCTCTCAACTCAGCCCGGGTGATAGAGCAGCTCCCCAGGTTAATAGCGTACGCTGCAAGGCAGCGCCCAATATGATCTCGAATCAGGCCATCGGCAGCTGCATGACCTGACTCAGTATGGACAGAGCCGTCGGAGTTGAGAGTAACCCACTCGGGAGGTGGCGGCTTCCAAGAGATCTCCACCTCCGTTCTCATGAGCAAACGAGGTTGGTGAATGAGCCTGTCTTTGTCCAAGGCATTCCGCACGACATTAATCCATGCCCGAACGCGCTGTATAAAGGCTGCAGTGGTCGTGATCTTGCCTGCGAAGACTCGATCATTCCTGGTCCTCCACAGGGACCAGCAGACAATGCCGAACTCCAGACTAGTGAGGTCCTGTCGTACATGATTCAGAATCCACTCCTGCAGTTGGGATCTGAAAAGCCGATGGTGGTCAGAAGGCTGAATGAACTGCATCCAAGTTAACCTGGAAAACTCGCAGTCTCGTAACACATGCAAGACTGTTTCGGCGGCCGCTTTGCACTGGGGGCAGATGTTCGTGGTTGATAGATGCCTCCTGTGTCTTTCAACGTTGGTGATGAGGTGCTCCCTTGCTGCTAACCAGAGGAAGTGGGTGACACGGGCTGGTCCTCTCCATCGCCAAATAGAGCGCCAGTCGATGGTGTTCCTCTCCTCCTCTCCTTGACAAATAAGCTGATACGTGGATTTGACCCGGAAGCGCCCGTCATTTTCTTGTCCCCAAGTCGGGGAGTCAGCTCTGTACCCTTCTCTTGGCGGTTGAACGACCAAAACCTGCAAGACAAATTCCTCAGGCAGATGTGAGCGTAAGAGTTGAACATTCCACTCACCATCAGTAGCGAAGTGGGCCACAGGGAGGGCGGGGTCTATAGGGGGGCTTGAGTCTAACGCATGGTCTATGAGCATCTCTCCCGAGTCCACCCATCTATCCGTCCAAAAGCTTGTTTCCATCCCGTCTCTGATGCTCATTTTCATACCCAACGTCATTACTGGCCACGCCCTCCTGATACCACGCCACAGGTTGGATGTTCTCGCCATAGACTTTGCCTGCACCCCCCCCCCCCCCCGTTAACCTATTTAAAGTATTTGGCCTGCAGCACTTTAACCCACAGTTCATCGGGTTTTTTAACGAAAAGCCAAGCAAGTTTCGTTAGGAAAGCGATGTTCAGCTCATGTGCTTTTCTGAGCCCCAGACCCCCCTCTTCCTTGGGTTTACAGATGCCCTCCCAGTGGACTAGATGGACCTTCCGAGCTTCAGCAGTGGATCCCCAGATGAACCGCCAGATCCTTTTATCTATCTCATCACAGATGGAAATTGGCAGCAGAGTAGTTTGCATTGCATAAGTGGACAGGGAGCTAAGCACCAATGTCGCCAGTGTCACCCGCCCCGCCAGAGTCAGCGATTTTGCCTTCCACCCTGCAAGTTTATTATCCAAGCGATCCAAAATATATCGGAAAGTACCTTAATTGATCCGTCCATCGAGAGAAATTGAAGATGTGGGGCAAGATCTCTGATGATGGTTGTGTACTTTTTCCTAACGAGAAATTGAGAAAGTACATTTAGAAAAGTTATCTATTTTTTTCTTTAAAATATATATCAAAATGCATATCATTTTGAAGAAAAATATTATTCTAATTTTTCTGTGTAGAATGATTTTCAATTACTGATTAAAATGATTACGTATGATGATCTTCATCTAACTTCGTGAAACTTGTATTTGTATACAAGAATACTACTAGCATGCATGGTAGACGGCTCAAGCATCGCCCTATACCGATGAATGGGTGAGGATAGGGTAATAAACTAATAATAGATTAAGTGTTAGCACATAATAATAGCATTTTTTTGTTGATTATAAAAGGTTATAACTTCCTACCAAAATTAAAAAATAAGGTATATAACAAGGTAATACTATATTTTAAATTAAGGAGAGAGTATCGGATTTTGAATGCAGAAAAAATCCAATATCGTCACTCAATCTTTAGATTTGATCTCTGAGTAGCATGGGAGTCTCCGTGCTGAAAACCCCCAATAAATTAAAATACCCTCCCAAACAAGTTGCTGTCAGATATTTGATCTTTAGTAACAAAACGTAAAATACCCAAATTATAAGTTGCTGTCAGATTAACCATTTTTAGAAAAAAATATGTATTCCTTTTGTAGCTCCTATTCCCAGCAATTTGTTGTTTTCTCTCTTTTGGTTGTTTGTCTTGATTTATTCTAGAAACAGTAGTACGTATACATATGGTGGTTGTGAGTGTTGGTTGTTTGTCTTGATTCAAATGTTCATCTTTAGAAACAATTTGTTGCCGGATGAATCATCTTTAGAAACAATACGTGTTCATGGATGCAGATAACGTGCATAACCAGATCTGAAATTTTTACTTTTAAGTGGGTTAGATCTAAGAGATAAGAATCATTAATAGTTCTTTAGGTTTTTTCCTTTTACTTTTTTAATCGATTTTTATCTTATTTATTTTAACTGAGATTTCAATTTTTTTATCACTTGATACCAGTTTTGTTTTTAACTCGAATTTTGAAAAATTCGCATAGAAGGAACGAATTCGTTTTGATGTATTAGATCTCTACAAATTTATGTTGAACCATTTCTAAGACAAAAAGTACCATCATATACCATCCTAGTACGGGGTGGTAAATGGTGCTTTACGTTCATAAAAGGTGCTAAATGGTGGTTAATAATATCATGTATGCAATCATTTTACACTCGTATGAGTTCATACCTGCATGATACACACTCTCATAGAGGGGTATAATCTTGGCTTATATAATATATACATACCAAAACGTACCACAATGCATAATAAAATTCTAATAGATAGTTTTTTTGTTCCAAAAATAGGTCTATCGGTCTTTATAAATAGTGAAGCCAATAAAGCACTACAAGTACTATTACATTTACATCCATCTGATAAGCTAAGAAGACCGAAAAGGAAAGAGGTGCGATAACAACAAGTAGTAAATATATAGTTTGTATCGAATGGATTCGAAAACAGCAATTCAGCTCCTGGAGGCTCAGCGCCAAGTTTGGGATCACTCCTTCGCCTACATCAAGACCATGGCTGTTCAGTCCGCCATGGAACTGGACATCCCAGGTGTGGTCCAGAGCCACGGCAAGCCCATCACCGTCCGCGAGCTGGGCTCGGCCCTGAAAATCGCACCGGCCAGAACCCCTTTCCTGGCCCGCCTCATGCGGATGCTGGCCCACATGGGCTACTTCGTGGAGAATCTGAAAGACGGCGATGATGAAACAGCCACGAGCTATTCCGCAACGCTGATGTGTGGGTTTCTGGTCAAAGACAGCCCTTTCAACGCCGCAACATGGTTCCTCCTAGCCAACGACCCGATCGCGGTGGACCCGTGGCGCTCTTTCGGCGCTTGGATTCGTCAACCCCCCGCCGCCGCCGGAGATTTCCCGTTCACCCATGCTCACAACGGGAAGAAGCTGTACGAGGTGTGCAGGGATGTCCCGCGGATCGCGAAGATGATGAACGAAGGGATCGGAAGAGACATCTGGCTGTTCAGCAAGGCCCTGCTGGCCAAGTGTGGGTCCCACTTCAACGGTCTCAAGTCGATCGTGGATGTCGGCGGCCACACGGGCACGATTTCCGAGGACCTCGCGGAGGCCTTCCCGGGGATTCACTGCACCGTCTTCGATCTCGCCCAGGTGGTCTCTCCGGCTGGTGACGTGTTTCAAGAAATCCCTCCCGCTGATGCCGTCTTCCTCAAGGTAAGTTCTAGCAGGTCTTATGATACACCCTCTCACAACATGAAGAGTCATTTTTTTTCTTCTTTCAATGCATGCAGTGGGTACTGTGCGACTGGAGCGACGAATCATGTGTGAAGATACTGAAACAAGCCAAGGCAGCGGTGACGAGCAGCAACGGTGGTGGAAAGGTGATGATAGTAGAAATGGTGGCAGGGCACCAGAGCTGCAGCGATCGCGAAGCGACTGGAACACTCTTGTATCTTGACATGGTAATTATGATGACTGTTGAAGGAAAGGTAAGAACCGAACCACAGTTCGCCAAGCTCTTCTCTGAAGCTGGATTCGCCAGTTACACCATTACCCCAGTTTGTGGCCTGCGAGTCCTCATTCAACTCTATCCTTAAATTAGTACGTTACATATCTATCAAAGGTGACTAAGATGGTAAAGTATTCGAGGGTTTCGTAGCATCTACGAGCTCCCACACCTTATATACTATTTTAAGGAAAAGCCCTCTTAGCTTGCATGATGGCCATTTAGTTACAATAAAAAAATGTTGAATAATTTTACCTGTGGGTTTGCTTGCTGCGACCTTGCGTGTGTTTAGTTCCACTGCCACAGTCAATTATGTAATAGTGATGGGTAGATCTTTCACGATCTATATAAGCCCATTCCGCTCAATGAAACAATTAATAATACAGTGCGACTTGATTAGTGCTGTTCTTCGTCTGGGTTGTGGTTATTCAACTTTTACTCTCATCTTAATATGACCTCAATGAACCCATCATTTATAATAGGAATACATAGTGAGATATATCTATTTAGACTTTGAATTAAATCGAGATTTGGGTATGATACTATACCGTAATCTCTAATGGATAAACGTTAGGTCCCAATTCTCTAAACTTAAATTCGAAGTTCAATTTAATACAAAATATTAATTGACCGTTGAGATCGGTCGGAGCTCAAGAAAGAAGATCTAACATTCACATCACATTGAGTATGGTATATGATCGTTAGATATACTTTTCTGAGCTCCGGCCAATCTCAACGGACAATTAACATTTTTTTAAAAAAATTGAACTTATAGTTTGAGTTTAGAGAATCAAGCTCTGGGTTTATCTATTAGAGGTTAGGGTATAGTATCATACCCCTAACTCAATTTAATTCATGGTCTAGATAAAAATATCTCATTAGAAGTACCTGGAGTATATATTTAATTTTGTTATAAACAAGATTCCAGAAAGTGCTAGGCGTAAGGCGAGGGTTGAGGCTCTGCCTTGCGGTTAGCATGCTTATGCTTTGCCTAGGTGTGTCTAAAAGTTACATGTAAACGTAGAATAATATCTCCCACTTGCTAGAATCACAACTTTATGAGCCAAATATCATTGCATATATCTCTCATTTCTAAACTTTCATAAAAAACATATGTCAAAACATAAAACATAGTATGGAGAAATGGGTAGTAATAAGGAAGAAGCTAGAAAATAGCGAAGCATATTGAGACGAAGAAGAGCAATAAAGAAAGAAGAAACAACTCTAAAGATGGTCATCTTTAACTATATCCTAGCCTAACTATAGACAAATCAAGACCGTCCTCCCTAGTAGCATATCATAAGGAAGAAAAAAGATATCATGATATCATTTTGAGACACAACTCAATCTTGACTAGGCACCACCGAGGTCTCAACATGTTTGTGACGCCTTCTCCGGTGCTTTTGGCCTAGGCAAGGCGTTGTCCATCTAACTTGCGTCTAGGCGCGTTTTTTAGAACCATGGTTATGAGGATGAGTTATCTTATTTTAATAATTCCTATGACGATTGTCTTTCTATTGTAACTAATTTATGATGAATGGTTGAGATTAACTTAAACGAAATTCAGTAAAATTTTGGTCATCCCTCTAATGCTCCAACTGTAAATAATATGATCTGCTTGGGTTATGACAATTACATATCTTTTTTTTTTACGAAAAAGCCTATATTATTTCACTAAAGGGTTGAAATAGTAAAAGAGTCAGCTAATAGCTGTGAAATCAAGAAAATGGGTGTCTAGAATCTCATACTTGAGTTTCATCTCACCTACATAGTGTATGGGCCATAAGATGAGCAGCTTTGTTGCTGGCCCGACCCGAGAACACTACCTGGACTGAGCCCAATTCCAGGATCCTCTCTCTCACCTCATCGCATTTCATTCCTTCCTCCGTCAACCCCATTTCCTCCTTCTCGATCTTCTAAACTGCACTCAAGCATTTTGTCTCTATGACACAAGGACTGAAGCCGTTTTCCACAGCCAAATCGATCCCCCATCTTATTACTAAACATTCTGCCATCTTCAGTGACCACTGGATATGGCTTCGTCTCACCGCTGTGAGGCATAAATTTCCTTCCTTATCCCTTACCACCAGACCAAAATCAGATCCCTCTCCCTCAAAGCATGCAACATCAACATTCAACTTGAATTCAACCGTTGAAAGAGGTTTCCAACGATACTCCCGCTTCTCCTGGTCGTTCGTCTTCATCTGTTGGTATTCCAGGTACTCTAAGAGCCATCGCTCTGCTTTACCAAAAATCTCGAATTCTTCCAGTTTCTTTTTATTCCATAACTGACTATTCCGTTCCTCCCAGATGAACCAAAGCACTACGAGAAATTGCCCGATTTGGTCGATGGAGACCTTCGCATGGAGCTCTGCCATCCAATCCTCATAGGTGAGATTCTGCTCTACTTCGAACATCTGTGTGAGTGAACTAGGGCCCCAGATCCTTCGAACCCATCCGCATTCTTGAAAAATATGCTTCTGGGTTTCCTTTAGCCCACAAAAAGGCATTCATCACATCCTCAATCGATCCGATTAACAATGTTTGCTCCCTTAGGGAGAACATTTCTTATCCACCTCCACGCAAAGATCTTAACCTTGGGGGGAATAGTCAATTTCCAAATACGATCTCAGTCTATAGGTGTATAGAGTTCACCTACTTCGTCTTCATGTCTATTGAACCAATGGTAGTAAGCCAACTTGACTGAATACCTCTCTGACTTTTCAAAGACCCATATTCGTTTGTCTTCAGCAGGTTTTCCGGGTATTGGAATTTTGAGAATTGGTTGTCTTTCAATGGGATTGAATCGAGATTGAAGGATAGAGTAATTCCAAACCCTGTTTTCCAAATCCATTGGCTCACGGAATGAGGTAGTGGGGGCAAACACTGTTTGTGGTGATTTTACTTTGTAGTTCATCGATGTAGGCACCTACCTGTCATGCCATATATCCACTTTATGTCTGTTACCAATCCTCCATCTAAGACCAGCTCTCACCAACTCCTTAGCTGCTAGAACACTTCTCCAAATGTAGCTAGGATTATAACCCTCCTCTGCTTCCAGAACATCTCTATTTTTGTAATATTTCGCTTTGTAAACACGAGCCAGTAGTGAATCAGGGTGCTGGATAAGTTTTCAAAATTGTTTACCTAGTAGTGCTAGGTTGAAATCCTGGAGATTTCTCCAACCTAACCCTCCTTTGGATTTGTGCAAGCACAAATTCTTCCTACTCACCCAATGAATTCGGCTTTCCTCCCCTTGCTGGCCCCACCAGAAGTTTAAAATCAAACTCTGGATTTCTTTTATAACTACCACCGGGACTAGAAACAATTGCATCACATTATTCATCTAGGCTTGAGCTACGACGTTGATTAAAACTTCCTTCCCTCCGCTAGACAGCAGTTTGCTTTTCCATAACTTGACCTTCTTACGAACTCTGTCAACCAAGTAACTGAAAACCGCCTTCTTTTGCCTCCCAATAATAGTTGGGAGTCCCAAGTATTTCTAATGATACTCAACCACTTTCATTCCCATTATATTTCCGAGCTCTGTACTCAAAATGTCATCAACATTAGGAGAAAAGGAGAGTTCTGATTTAACCAGATTGACTTTCTGCCCACTTTCTTCCTCATAGAGATTCAAAATAGCCCTTAGTTTACCACATTCTTCTTTTGTAGCCTTTGAGAAAAGAACACTATCATCCGCGAATAGTAGATGACTAATAGAAGGAGCTCCTCTTTTTACACAGATTCCTTTTATTTTCTTTGCCCTCTCTGCTTGTGTTAAGAGAGCAGATAAGCCTTCTGCAATAAAAAGAAACCAATATGGTGAAATGGGATCGCCTTTTCTCAAACCTCTGGTAGGGAAAAAAGTCTATGTTTGGTGTCCATTCACAAGTATCGAGTAGGAAACTGTCGAGAGACGGTGCATAATCGAAGCTACCCATCTTTCATGAAAACCAAGCTTCTTCATAACCACCTCCAGAAAACTCAATTCGACTCTATCATAAGCTTTTGAAATGTCTAATTTTGCCGACATGAAGGCTACCATCACATTGTCAGTTATAAGTCTGCCCGGGACGAAAGCGCTCTGAAATTCACTAATCACCTCATTTAAAACTCTCTTTAGTTTGTTAGCAAGAACTTTAGAAACGATCTTGTATAGTACCTTGCATAAACTAATTGGTAGAAAATCCACTGGTGATTCCACTTCCTTCTTCTTAGGGATCAAAGCAATCAGAGTATGGTTGAGTGTTTGTGGGAAAAATCCTTCATTAAGAAAGTGTTGTAACTCTCTGGTCGCATCTTGGCCTATATCATCCTAATTCTTCTCAAAGAAAAAGGCTGTCATGCCATCTTGTCTTAGTGCTTTGTGGGGTCCCATCTTCTTTAAAGCCCTATAAATCTCATCCTCCGTAAATGGTTTTAGCAATTCATCATTCATTGCAGGGGAGACTTTGCTTTGGATGGCTTCTAAAATTCTTTCCGAGGGAATTGCATGACATGCACAAAAGAGAAACTTAAAATAGTTAGTTAGGCACTCCCCCACTGCCTTCCGTCCTTCCTTCACCTCCCCGTTCTTTTCCACCATCTTAGAGATAGTATTTCTGTTTCTTCAATCCGAAGCATTTCGATGGAAGAACTTAGTGTTCTTGTCCCCCCCCCCCCCCCTCAACCAGTCCACCTTGACCTCTGTCAACACATCAGTTCCTCTTGAATTAATATCTCATTCAACTCCCTCTTGATAGCTTTCCTCTGTATAATCACCGCAACAGTAGATTTGCTTTTACTAAGTTTGTCAAGGAACCTTTAAGGTTTGTATTTTCTAGCTCTTAGATCCCCAAAAGTCTTCCTACTCCATTCTAATAGTTGTCTTTCACATATCTTAATTTTCTCAACAATGGATCTGCTTGGTCCCGCATGCCACGTCTCAACTACAACTTGTTTGCAATCCACATGATCTTGCCAGAATGACTCAAACCGAAAGCTCCATCCCCATTTTATGTCCTGATTGATTAACCTAGTCTGAAGAACAATAGGAGCATGTTCTTGCGTGGGGATAACATGATTGCCAAGAAGCCGTAGCAACCATTC